GTCGGCGCTTTTCTCGATACTTCTCCATCACTTGCCTTGCGATGAAGATGGCATTCATTTAGGTGAACCCGAACTGTTCCTGGGAGATCGGGACCAGCTCCCGCAGTCTTCGAGTCGACCAGTCGCTCGTACAGCTTCATTGTATGAGCAGTCAACTTGATCCCGCGGTAGTTGGAGCAGTCCATCGCGTCACCCTTCTGCTTGAAGATGGGGACGATAGTACTTGTTCTTCTGGCATCCTTCCTTCCACAGTTACCGTGTTGAGGAGCCGATTATCTCCTACTCTCCGAGCGCCTTCCATGCCTCGATTGGCATCTGGACCCACCGCCTTTCCAACCTTCTTCTTGACTTCTTGACGAACCTCATCCTCTGTCCATAGTGAGATGGGGCCAGCCGTCGCCTCTGCTTGCGGAGTGTCTTTGTGGGGGAACTCCTCGATCAGAGGTGTAGTACTCCTTCCCACCTCCCTTGACTTCAGCCGGCTTCCTCGAGATGGCGCCATTGCTACTCTTTACACTCTTCAGTACCCTGGATTTTGAGTAGCTCGGTACCGAGCCTTAGCCAGCCCGGAAGACGAATTTCTCTGCGTGCGCTTGCGAACTTCTCGTACAAGGCGTCCATCTCCGTGTTCTTCGCCTTGGCGACAGCAGCCTTAGCGAGCCTCTTGCAACTTTGTAGGGGCGAGGTCTTCGGGGCTCCGGGTCTTCTGCCAGCGCTTGTATGCTTCCTTCTTCTGCTTCACGACTCGCTGGACCTCCTCGTTCCAGAACCACGCTGCCTTGTCTCCTCTGATTCCACCTCGCGTCTCGCCCAGTACCTCCTTGGCACATCGCAGGATGATCTCAGCTGACCGTAAAACACAGAAAAAAAATCTCGTAGTCTTCAAAAATGTCTTCGCCTCCTCCAACAAGTTCTTTGAAGGAAGTTATTATTGCTGAAAGCTCAAAAACTCGCATGTGCTGCTCAAAAACCTATGGGAACAAAATGTTCGAACGTGTGATTTTCTCGGAAAATGGATTTTGAAAAACGGTTTGGTGGCTTGTTAGAAAGAGCAAATCCTGTACTTTCACCCATGAAAAAGTGCATCACAGAAATGAAAATGAAGTGAGTTATGGTCGCTGAAAGCCCAAAAACTCGCTTTTGCACGAAAATGTTCGAACGGGACAATTTTTTGAAAAAGGGGACAATCACTAAACTTTTTATACTGTTTTGTTAGAGAAATATTTGAAGTTTCTGAAACTTTTTACAGATTTCCAAAATGTCGCATACGAAAGATTTTATGGGCCTTCAAAGTTGAAGGTGCGCCTTCTTAGAATTTTGGGTTTTCCACTTCTAACAGAAGTACTTTCCGGAGAGTTAGGCAATCCTTGTAGTTTCTGGAAGCGCACCTCAGGCACAAGTCAAAATCTACCTCAACAAGTCAAAAAGTACGTCCCAAGAAAATTATTCCCCTTCTAAAATTCTTTCTTCGCCGCGTCCCGTTCTTCCAGCGCCCGGGTGATACCTGCCGCGCTCCAAGGCTGACGCCGCAATGCAGACGCTTTCTGGCGCAACGGATTCATGTCTAGCACTCTTATTAACAAAAACAGGGGGTCGCAACTGGACCCCTCGAGAGCTAGGGGGTCGCAAAAATCCCGAAAATGTTCGAACGTGACCGGTTGACCCCTTTAGTCACAGGTCAGCCCTCAGAGCTGCAATATTGCGGACATATGTATAGGGATGGTGGGACGGGAAAATTTTTGATGGGGGAATCATAAAGTCACTACAAAGTGATAACGACCGATAAGGGCAGATAAGAGGCGCTGAAACACAAATTTCACGAAATATATAGTGCGCTTCGCAGCAGTCGTCAGAAGCTGATTTTGGGATATGATATAGGGGGTGGGACGGGAATATTTTGGTGGGGACACGAAGGTGATAACAGCTAATATGATTCGATAAGGAGCGCTAGAACGCAAGGGATCGCGAAATTCGTAGCGCGCGCGGCCAGCAGCACTGATGCGCTCCACCGGCTGTCTAGTTTTACGAGCCCTTCAGTGCCATGCACGCGGTAGTGTGCGGAGCCAAACTGGTAGCAGTGGTAAGTGATGATAATAAGAAGGACACTGATGATCACTTTTCCGATCGGTCTTTCATTCGAAAACACAATAATTTGCTGATGGTGACTACGAATGAAAAAACTTTTAAATTTTCCAAACAAGTGATTCTGAACAGTGATTTTTAATCGCCTCGAATTGAAAGATTCTGCCCTAAAGAAGCGGGTCGCTGAGATGATTTTACGCCCAAATTAGGTAATCTTGAAAAGTAAACTCGACTCTTGTTAGGAATGGATTCAATCCCTGTGGCGCCTCTGATCGCTACGCCAAATCACACCCACCAGCCCTGCCATAATGAAGCCGAAGCTGTCTGGAGAGGGAGCGAAGGTCGCCAAGAGCTAGAAGACCAGCAGCAGCAGCGAGAAGAAGAAGAAGAAGAAGCGCCGCCAAAAGGAGAACTATTTTAGATACAAGCTTTTCTTGACCTGAAAGAAGTGCATGCAAACGGTAGCGTTTTGTGTAAGGCTAATGCTAAGTGTATTCATCTTTATTAATTATTATTATTAAACTTATTGTTATTATTCAGCGGACCTTGCGGACGGGGGCTACTAACCGCCTAGGTAGAAGAATAATATATTATTATTATTATTATTATTATTATTATTATTATTATTATTATTATTATTATTATTATTATTATTATTATTATTATTATTATTATTATTATTATTATTATTATTATTATTATTATTATTATTATTATTATACATTTATTCGGGTTGATACGCTGCTATGTTGATCTTAGCAGACTTGCCTGATACAACTACAGGGTGGCTTCTAATATTGTCGCATGGTTTATTGACCATATTTTCCTAAAAGAAGCTATAATCTTCAAAAGTTATCTTAGTATCATAGAAAATAACAATGCCTTACTAGAAAAGGGGCTTGAAATGGCCCCTCCGGCAGCGATACAGGCTTCAAGTCTTTTTTCAACTGTCATCACCGTGGACCACCAGAGATACTGATGTCGACGTGACGCGAGAAGACCGTCACACTGGATGTGGCGCACAATTTTCAAAACAACAGTCAATTCTTGGATCCGGCTAAGGGACATTCTGCTCGACGTCCTGTGCACACAAGGAGCCGATTTCCAGAATCTATCGTGGTTTGGGCTGGAATTACTTTTGAAACCAAGACACCGCTTGTCTTTTTGGATAAGTCCGTTAAAATCAACGCCCAGATCTATAAGGAAAGAATTTTACGTGCTCCTTTGCGAACTGATTTGACCTTCGGCGGACGTCGCTGACTTCTTCAGCAAGAATCGTCGGCTGCATATGTCGCAAAATCTACGCTGGAGTTCTGTAACGGTCATTTTCCAGGTTGCTTTCCATAGTACGTTTAGCCGTCTAACTCACCTGATGAACCC